TATATATATATATATATAGAGAGAGAGAGAGAGAGAGAGAGAGAAAGAGAGAGAATTTCTCATGCGCACTGATGCGTACGCATCAGTGCTGTTCTCGTCGAAAGCGAGGGGTTTTTAAAAAAAAACATCCGACAAAATGCATCTTGTGCTCGTACAGATGCTCGTACAGAAGCAAGCAGGGGTTTTTTTGAAAAAAAACCAACGATTAAAAACCCCAAAATCCCATCGCACTCGACAGTCTCTCTCTTCATTGGTCAAGATTTTTATCCCAAAATCGGAGAGAATTGAATCTCCTCCATTAAAGCCACCGCCTTCCCCCATTTCTCCTCCTCCGTCAAGCTGTCGAATTCCCTAACTCCGCCCACCGCGAAAGCAGCATCACCGCCGATTTCGGCCGATCTTCCTTCGAGCTCGAGCGCTCTCTCGAGATCCCTATTTCTCCTCCTCCATCAAGCCACCGCCTTCCCCCTAACTCCGACCTCCTCCCTCTCCCTCTCTCGCTCGTGATTTTGTTGTTTTATCATATTTACTAAATATTTTTGCAATTATTTGATAGAATCATATGCATCTATTTTTTGTGCATGCTAAATCACTGTCAAGTTGCTGATAAGCTTAGAACTGACGTGTATACCAGGCTACCAGCTAACAAGGTTAATTTGCTTTACAGGTTGGGTACAGTTAAAACTTGAACAGAAGGGCAAATGAAGAGATTGCAAGTGCTAAATTATCATCCGACTCGAATGAAGCAGGGGAGATGAGTGGAGTTGGCGCTGCAATAAAGAGGCTGGAAACAAACCTTCAGAAAGGAAAATCGTAGTTTAGAATACCGGATTTCAACATGTGGAAGCAATAGAAAGATCTTTGAAGAATGCTCCTCATTGTAAGTCTGGTTCCTCGCCAACAAACAACTTGCAGAAATAGCAAGATTCTCCAGTTAGATGTACTATTGTGCACCTACAAATACCTTTCAATCAATTCACCTAAACATGGTCATACTTGTTCGTCCATGTAAGGTCTTTCTGTGGTTGATAAAATTAGTGACTGTTTCAACAATTTAAGTCTTGATGGAGCCTAGAGGGCAGAGGCCAATTGTATGCCAGTTAACTGTTATTTACTTGTCAGGAGACTGATCCATGTAATATTGCACCCCTTCTTTTCGAGTGAAATAAGAAGGGTCTTATTATTATTATTTTTTAAAATTTTTTGATTCCTTTCTGCATCTTATGTAATTTATGACTTTTGTTCCTCTTACTGTGACTACTAATCAAGTTGAAACTATGCTAAGAAGAGATGTCGGGTCTGCAGTTTTAGATGACTTTAACGTGCATTGGATGAGATCATTGTATTGAGAATGCTACTGAAGATTCTTTTTTTTCCTCATTTATGTACAATTTTGAACCAGGGTTGGTACTTGGTATATGTCAAACATTAAGTCAGCGGATGGAGAGTTTGGCATGCGAACACTTTCTCACTTTAGATCACAAACTTTGCACGCTTCGGCCATCCATGGATATTATTGATGCTTCTCTTTCTTTTTCTTTTTGCACTATATAATAGCAGTTAAGTCTGCATCCGTGCTTTGCAACGGTAAAGGCGTGTTAGCTAATCCATCCCACTATATAATAGCAGTTAAGTCTGCATCCGTGCTTTGCAACGGTAAAGGCGTGTTAGCTAATCCATCCATGTTCTTTATTGACATTTTGCCATATTTATACATGCAAATAATAACTAATCTCGTCTACTTTTTTCTATGAATTTCCGGTGTTTTTACTTGCTAGAAAATTACACGAGCAGTTAAAGCATTCCAAGGAAGCCAGTAAAAGCGTCCAGCCTCACACGTCAAAAGAAAGGGGAAGAGGATACAGAAAAGCAGCAGCAACAGCATATGTTTGTTAATCAATCCAACCAAGGAAAGAATATCTTCTTTAAAATCATGTAATCATCTTTCCCTTCAGTTTTCTTCAAATCCGATGCTTACTCTCTCTCCCTCTCTCTTCCTCAGGATCTCTCTTGCAACCATAACGAATCCCAGCCTTCACCTGCCATTAGTTCTTCTCGCCGTCCTGTTCGTCGTCTCCGCTAAGTTAGTAGTTTCCACCAACGACGATGACAATACTATTCCCGCTGTAACGGGCACTTGTCGATCCTAGTGTGGCAACATCACGATAGACTATCTGTGGTGTCCATCCTGGTTGTGGTCACTCAAGCTTTCGTGATCTTCTTTGCCGCATGAATGGAATGCTTATGCTTCACATCCCTTCTGGTACCTACAAAGTCCTGGATATCGACTATGCCTACACTTCTCTCACCCTTCATGACTCCTCCATGTCAGACTACTACTCCCTCTCTCTGTCCTCCAAAAATTCCACTGTCAGTGGCTTTGTTGTCGAGACATGGCACACTCCTTACCTTTCCCCTGCTCCGGATAACGTCTTCATGCTGCTCGGCTGCCATGAGTCCCCGGAAAGTTGACTCGGCATATGAATCTGTTAGCCCACCAGAGTGTTGTTCATTGGAGTTTGGTGCAATCCGATCGATTAATTTGACTCACTTACAGTGCCAGGGGTACAATAGTGCGTATAATCTGGCTCCGTTGAGGGCAAGAGGACCGGGAGAATGGTCGTATGGTATAAGGGTAAGCTACTCTCTACCTGAGGAGGAGGAGGAGGAGGAAGAGTGCTTAATGGCGAGGGAGGAGGAGCTTAATGGCGGAGGAGGAGGAGGAGGAGGAGGAGGAGCTTAATAGCGGAGGAGGAGGAGGATGAGCTTAATGGCAGAGGGCTTAATGGCGGAGGAGGTCGGAGTTGGTCGGAGTGGTAACGGCGGCCGGGGCTTGGGTCACGAGCGAGAGAGGAGAGGGAGTTTGGGGTCGGAGTTTGGTTGGAGACGGGGCTTGGCGTCAGCGAGCAGAGAGAGGGAGAGGAAGGGAGTTGGGGTCGGAGGCGGAGTGTGGTCGGCGGCAGGTGCTTGGTCACGAGCGAGAGAGGGAGAGGGAGAGAGAAGTTGGTTCCGCGACCGGGTCTTGGCCGGCATCAACGATCGAAGAGATGGAGGGGAGGGAGCCGGAAGAGGGAGAGGGAGGGAGTTGGTCGGCGACGGGGCCTTGGCCGACGTACCGAAAAGACGGAGAGGGAGGGATGTGTGGGATCAGGGAGAGAGGATTTCTGATTGGGAGTAAGGGAGTTGGGGACGACTACGAGAGAGAGACAGAGAGGGTTGGTGCAAATCGACTGATTTTTGTAAAAAAAACCCTGCACCTCACCTTTGAAAACACACGAGTACGAAATGCGTACGCGTTATGCGTACTAGAAACGGACTGTATATATATATATATATATATATATAGTATATATTGATATATATAGTAGTATATTCATATATATATATAACACAATTTACATTAAACGTTGGGCGCTTCTAGGCGTCGGACTTGGCGCCCAGCGCTTAGTCGCCTAGGCGGGCGCCTAGGCGGTTTCTGGACGTTTTTTTCTTCTAATTGTGATACTTGAAGATAAATATATATATACTCAATCAAAGATGCATAAATTTATTAAGGTTTACCAATTACAATAGCTCTTTGTATATTTAGACTTCTCAACTCAAATTATAAGTTCATCTTAACAGTGAAAAACTCATTCTCAACTCAAATTACTCTTAACTTATAAGTTACTGTTAAGTTTAAGTTAACAATAAACTCAAATTACTGTTAACTTATAAGTTAATCGAATTTGGAGGACGTGTAGGCTACGACACATAAAATCACAATCAAGGCCTACAGGGTGCAATCCACGTAAGCAGACAATGCTCCCCTAAACGTTCGTAAAATCTAGGTGGGCAGCCTAAATACCGTCTAGGCGTTAGGCGTTAGTTAAACGGCCTAGGTACCGCCTAGGACTAGGCGTACGCCTAAGCGGACTAGGCGGATGTTTTTTAAAACAGTGTATATATATCCGTCCTAAAATATAATCTAAACATACTTAATGAAATCTAAGCATATAAAAATGTTAATAATATATGTTTATGATCACTAACAAATTGTAAAAACTTACTTAGGGAAAGAGCATACTAAACTATCGCTAACAACCACATAGGCGATGGTAATATTGCTAGAAAAATATTGAAGCAATTTGACAAAACTATATTATCTTGTGACAAGCTACATAAAAGAATATATCAGCCAATATGTTTGTTGATATATCGGCGATGTTAGGGATATATCACGCAAAAATGTCAAGAAGTGGTAAAGGATATTGAGACCACAATGTTTTGCAACAAGCCTTATAAAAGAATATATCGGGCTATCTCAGGAATATTTAAAACAAAAGCAGTTCTTTGGTAGTCCTAAAATAGATTTTACTTTGATTTTCAATAAAAGGGGGAAAATAGGAATTATCACTTCCATCATCATCTCCTAATCAGCGGTGAATTTCATCTCTAAAAATTCTTCCCCACTCCAATATCAAAACCTTGGACGCCTCTCCATTAATCATATATATATATATATATACATATATATATATATACATATATATATATATGTATACATATACATATACATGTACATGTACATATATGTACATATATATATATGTACATATATATATATATATACATATACATATACATATACATATGTATATATGTACAGATATATATATGTACATATACATATACATATACATATGTATATATGTACAGATATATATATGTACATATACATATACACATCTCTATATGTATACATATACATATCATATCTCTATATGTATACATATATATATGTACATGTATACATATACATATCATATGTACATATACATATGTATATGTATATACATATGTATATGTATATACATATGTATATGTATATACATATGTATATATATATATAAAAGATAACTCAAAGTCATTACAACTTAGCAAAGCTAGCTCAAATCAGTGATTATATTCAATGTAACTTTCTAATTCCTTTTGTTCTAGTTATATATTTTTCAATCAAATGCTGAGGCCACAGTGGAGATCGATGCTGACATGGTAATAAAGTTCAAGGCGCTGCAATTCATTAGATACAAAATTGAAATAAAAGGGGAAAACGAACAAGTAATAGTACAGGAACGTCAAAAACTATGCAAATAAAGAGTCAGATGATTCTTGTAAATGAAGGACGAGGGGAAGATAATTTAGAAGGAATTCATTTGCAAAGGCCGAGCGACCGACAGAATAAAAAGTTTGAGTGTTCGAGGAAGATGGTTGAAATTTCCATAAATACCCCTCAATGCTAAATAAACTACGAATTTGACAGTGGAGCTGAAAAGGCACATTGCAACGCTTCAAACGGGAATGCGGAGAGTGATTATTACGGACTTTATTACAAATTGTGCCATTGGTAGTCCAAAAATTTTCTTTTTTTCGAGTACCAAAGTTGTCGGCTTAAAATAGTCTCAATTGCTTATAAGAATGAGAATTTTATTACAAAAGAAAAGTTTATGTCGACACAACAAACCTTTAAACTAGTATCACCTGAAACAGGACTAGTATAAAAAGAGGCAAAGAATGGAAGTTGAAATGTCCAAACTTTGTGAAATCTCTTTCACTCCACATACAAAGCGGATAAGAAGATCAAATATTTAAGACTGTTGTAATATAACTACAACTTGATTTTTGTAAGCAAAATGTCAATCTGGAAAAGAAAAAGCATATAAAAATTAAGGAAAAGAACAAGTTGAACTGCGTTGCACAAACTTCATTACTTAAATTATCTTTTTTAAATGCTAGTATCTCAAAGTTTGTAAAATTTAGCAGCCACTTGACTCTTGTGTTAACTAGTTCATAGCTTCTCTCTTATAAATTATGCTGTTGTTCCATAAACTTAATTTTTCTTCCCCACGGGAACATGGACTAAGCCGTTTACCATGGAGTTTAATTAAAGAAAACATATATATTCATCTCAACTAGGTTTTATGCACGTGCGATGCATGTGGTTAAATACCATGATTAAGTATATTTGATTTATTTCCTTACTAAAACTTGTTCCTCGGTTCCATTTTGATGGTTTTTGCTTATTTATATCTACTTTAGCATTATGATTATTTATTTTATTTAATGTTTGTCTATATGAACTACACCCAATTTAAATTTTCATATTGATAATTGAATTGACAGAAAATAAATATAATCTAAAATCAATTTGAATTATCGTGTCATTGAGACCGACATGAAACCAAGCTTGACCTGAAAAGTATAGCATTACAAAAGTGAAAAAATACTTCAAAAAATAGCGTTCTAAAAAGAAAATAAATAATTAAAGCTAATATGACAAGATGATAGGTTAAAAGTGGGCTAAAATGACACATAAGATAATTTAGAGTTTGTCCCTAATCCTCAATAGACTTTTAAAAAAATCATAAGCAAAAGATTAATGATAAATCTAGTACACTTTTATATAATGAAAGCATAAGCATATAAAAGTACTAAAAATTTATGAAAATCCCTCCCAAAGATTCCTAATTTACTCCAAAAAAACTATTCTATAAAATATTTAAAACATAGTGCCTTTCATTCCTTTTTGTTTTATTTTTTATTGAGACGTTATCAATCTTTCTTCACCCTTATCTTTTTCGATAAAATTAGACTACTTTTAGATGCTGAAAAGGATAGTAAAACCTTAAATTAAAAGTTAAATTTATATATCTTAATGAAAGAATATCAAATAACTACTCTTTTTTGCTAAGTTTTGAAATTTTAGCAGCTTTTTCGTGATTTTGAATTTTTAAGGGTGTGCTTTGTAAATTTTGAAACTTTGACTGTTTTTTAAAATTTTAAATTTTAATTTTGGTGCTTGTAATTTTCATGTTTCATGTGGTGGTAGTAAGTTTTTGAATATCAGAATATTTCTTGCAACTCTGAATTTTGAGAGTATTTTTTATAATTATTGAAACTTTAGATTGTTTGTTGCAAAATTTAAATTTTTAGCGGTCTGCTAATAATTTTGAGATTTGATATGTATTGGTTATAAGTATTTCAATTTTAGGGTTTTCTATGTTTTTTAATTTTTGTATGAGTTTTTTGTAATTTTTATAACTTTTGAGATTATTGTTTACAAATTTTAATTTTTTAGTGTCTGACGGTAATTCCTTGAATTCATCTTCGCGAGTTTTGAAATTTCAGAATGTTTTTTTATTATTTGAACTTTTGAGGATGTTTTTATAGTTTTTAAAATATTAGAGGGTTTCATGTTTGTTGTTTTAAGTTTTAAAACGTCTGGATGTTTTGTGTAATTTTAAACTTTTAAGGGTATTTTGTGCAAATTTTAAAACTTTTGGGTTTTTTTTCAATACTTCATATATTATAGCATATTAATCTTTAAATTATTGACATATAAGTAGTTCGCATGGGATTAAGATAGGATATAATTATGATTATAGTAGATTAAAATTTAATTGAAATATTCAAAATAGTCAAGGGTAATATTAACCATAAAAAGATTTTTTCAAACTCGTACTTTTAAATGGAGTATATGATAGATAAAGATATCATGACAAGAAAAGATAAAGATATTATGACTAGAAAAAAGACAGATATCACAAAATGGAACAATTTCTACAAAACCATGTTACATCATTCATGTTTCATTTTAATTATAAAGCAATGGACACAAAGAATATGAGCTCAAAAGCACAAGGAATTTACCTTCCCATTTGAGAATTGCACAATCCTTCGAGATGTAGGCAAAAAATGAGACACACGAGTTCCCCCGCCAGACCAACCATCCTCAACTTTTGAGGCTCTCGGACTGCCATGCCCATGGCTAAATTGTCTTTGTAATGAAGAATGACTATGACTGTCACCAAGTGACCTCTCCCTCACACAAAGAAGCATGCGACCTGTTGATGCAAAATATTATGGATATTCCAGATACATGTAATCTTTTCTCTCTCTCTCTCTCTACTATATATTATATATATATATATTAATATATATATATTAATTATATATATATATATATATATATATATAGAGAGAGAGAGAGAGAGAGATAAACTTATGTCAACTTAAAGTGGACAAGAGGTCTTTTCCATCAAACTTTCCTAATCCACTCATATATATATACTATATTATATATATATATATATAATATATTATATAGTATTATATATATATATAATATATATATAAAGTCTCTTCATATTTTTGCGATTGGATCCCTAGGGTATGCATTCAATGGATAGAAAATTTGATGGATGATCCACTTAAGGTTGACTTAGAATTCTCCTTTCTCTCTCTCTCTCTCTCTCTCTCTATATATTATATCTATATAGATAAATTATATATATATATATATTATATATAGAGAGAGAGAGAGAGAAATGGGTAATCTTTGTCATAGGAAGGGATTTTCTTTCTTGAAAAATGATGTGCCACAATCCCCACCATGTGATATTCTTCCTACTTTATTCACATGGTGGGGATGTGCCTCAACCAAGCACACACTAACACATATTTCAAAGGAGAAAATCCCCTCCGTTACATAGGACACTCATAATCTCATTATATAACTATATATATATATATATAATATATATATCCTATATATGAGTAAACCTTGTGTCAAACTTAACAGTTCGGAACGTCCACGTAGTTTCTTAGCCCATTGGATGATGCACTTAATTGAGCTGCTTGTGGATGATCCCTCGCGTTAACTGATCTACATATATCTAAAACCCCAACACACAATTTGGGGTGAATCCCGTCGTGGTTTGACCCTCCGTCGGCCTACTTGTTAAAAAAAGTTCTAATTCATTTTGAACCTTTAAATTGATACGAGTGGAATGAAAGGGTCAAAACATGACGCGAATTCAACCAAATTTGTGTGTTGGGTTTTAGAATATGTAGAATCCAAGTTTAACGGAGCGGATCATCCACAAAACAGCTCAATCAAGTGATCATCAATGGGTAAGAAACTTACGTGGACGCTCACTTTAAGTTGACCACAATGTTTACTCTATTAAATTATAGTATATTATATATAATATATAGTATATATATATGGTTTGTGTGTGTGTGTGTGCGTGCCATACATACATACATATATATGTAACATGTAGTGTATGTATATATTTGTTTTTATGTATGTTTGATGTAATTATGTATACTATATACTGTATATGTATATATATAACATATACGTATACATATCAGGTATATATGTAATACACATTATATGTATGTATATGTATGTATGTATATATCTTTTTATGGCATGTATAATGTATGTGTATGTATCTGCAATGTATATATTATAATATATATAGTATATAATAATGATATATATATATATATATATATATATCATGCAAATACGATACTCATACATATACATGCATAAAAACATACATACATACATATGTTCTTCTATTTGAATTATTAATTCATTTTGTTTATTTAGTGTTCTTCTATTTAAACAAATATTACTTCTTTTAGAAAACTTATTTGTTTTTCTTTCAAAAGGGTATTTTTTTACTTCATTTAGTAAACGAGTTTCTTAATCTGTTATATAATTAAAGTAGCAGTATGTTTGGCTAGGTTATGATAATAATCTGCTACATAGTTAAGAGCTCCAAGAAATCTTTGTAATTGTTTAATGTCGAGTATGACATCGGGAAATTTTGAAGCAAATTCTATATTTCTGTCTATAGAAATAATATTACCTTTATGAATATTATGGCCTAAGAATCTGATTTGAGTTTGGAATAACTTCATTTTTGGGGCTGATATAGCCAGTCCATTTCGTAAAAATAATTTTACGAAATATTTTGATATGTTTAATGTGTTGATCAAAATTTTGAGAAAAGATTAAAACATCATCTATATATGATAAAATAAAATCAGTATAAGGAATGAATATTTCATTCATAATATTTTGGAATTCAGAAGGGACGTTTTTAAGTCTGAAAGGCATAACATTACATTCAAAATGTCCAAATGGAACAACAAAGGCGGTTTTACATTTATCTTTTTCTTCAATTTGGATTTGCCAATATTCAGATTTAAGATCAAACTTAGAAAAGATTTTTGCATTATTAATACGATTTAATAAATCTCTTTTATTTGAAATAGGGTATCTAATACATTTTAATACTGTATTTAAAGGTTTATAATTAATTACTAAACGAGGTATTCCTCTTTCTCGTTCTGTATGATTATTTACATAAAATGCAGTGCAACTCCAAGTAGAATATGACTTCCATATAAGTCTCTTTTCTAATAAGAAATTTATTTCTTTTTTACATAATTCAAGATATTCTTGATTCATTTGACATGGTCTAGATTTAGTAGGTATATTCTTTTCATCGAAATTGTCAATATATGGTAACGAAACAATATGTTGTTTTCTGTTCCAAAAAGTATTAGCAGGGCCGGCCCTGGGGTAAGCCCACCAAGCCCCGAGGCTGGGGCAACCCAGGGTCGGGGGGCAACTCATCCCTCCCGCTCCTTCATCCCTCAAACTGTAATTAGTTTTGATTTTTGAAGTGGACTTTGTAAGAGGATCTTTATGCAAAAATTGTTAAGGGTTCTATTTGTAAAAGAACTCTAATGAATTCCCAAAATCCTATCCAACTCCTTTATTTCCGTCAGCATTTCCTCTTCTCCTTCCCGTCTCTGTTCCGCTCACAAAAAAAAAGGAAAAAAAAGAAAGAGAGAAAATCACTCCTCCCCTCCTTCCCGAGCCTCCGACGGTCCGACCTTACTCTGCGCCCATCGGACCCGTCCTTCAGGGCTTCACCCCGCTAACTCCTCTAACCCAATCAAGTAAATTTTTTTAACTAAATAATTTTAGGGTTTTTTTGGACAAAAAATTAGGGTTTTGATGTTTTGCAATAAAATCAAGATTTCAGATTTTGAATCTTGGCTGAATCTTTGTTGTTGAATAATTGAATTAGGAGTTATGATGTTTTGGAATGGGTAGCTTATCGAATTTTGTTACTATCCCCGTTACGGTTGCCTCAGTGAAGAGAAATTTTTCCAAATTGAAATTGATAAAAAGTTATCTTCGCACTACCATGTCACAGGAAAGATTGAATGGATTGGCAATGATATCAATTGAAAATGAATACTTGGAGAAACTTGAGTATGATGACTTAATTGAAGAATTCGCTTCAAAAAATTCAAGGAGAAGTATTTTTCTTTGAATTAAATTGTAGCACAAATGTAATCTCTTCTTATATGAATATTGATTTTGCATGAGAATATTATCAGCTTGAGCCCAATATAGAACGCTAAATTGTATTATATGTATTCATTTTTATCGTTATTATCTGTACCAAATTTTTAATATAAGAGGCAACCAAAATTAGATTAGGCTAGGGCAACCCAAAGCTCGGGGCCGGCCCTGAGTATTAGGAGAATTACTACAAACAATTTTATTAAACTGTTCTTCTATTTGAATTATCAATTCCTTTTGTTTATTTATTTGTTCTTCTATTTGAGCAAATATTACTTCTTCATTTAGAAAACTTATTTGTTTTTCTTTCAAAAGGGTATTTTTACTTCATTTAGTAAACAAGTTTGTGGGTCTGTTAGAAATTCAAATATAATTTCTTGACCATTATAAGTTGCTTTAATGCCTTGTGAATCAATTTGGTTCATAGGCATTACCATTTTGTCTACATATAAATGCAGAGGTGAAATATTAAATGCAATTAAAATTAATCTAGTGAAAGATAATTATCCCATCAACCCTTTAAGGTACCAGTAAAACCACAAGTAATATAATACGCAATTAATTTATCGGTATTACCATTTTGTCTACATATTGTAGAATACATTAACATTCTATGCATCGTAGCATAGATTTGGGTATCAGATAATCCATCAATATTCCATTCGTAGATATTTCTACCATTATATTCAGCTTGTAAATAATTATCATTTTCTTCAAATGAAACATCAGTTAGGGTTGGTCTTTTCCATAATATCTTTCTATTCTTTTAGGGCCATTTTTAATTTTATTTATTGTGGAAAATTGTTCTTCTACTGCTAGAAGTTTGTCTGATTTGATTATTTTTTCATCTGAAGAACTATTATCAGTAGAAATAACTGAAGAAGTCGATGTTTCACTCTGAATATTATGGAGTATATGTATATGTGTGTGTGTATATATATATATATATATATATATATATATATGGAAAAAATGTTCCTAATGTGTCTTCCTAAGGTGACACCTTAGATTCAGTCTAATGAAGCATCTTCATAACTACATTATTTGCAATCAATTTACTTGATTCACTCCATTCATTATGATGTAATTATCTCAAAATATCTGTAAAACAAAAAATGTGATGTCTCAATACTTCTAACACATATTTTTCATTGTCTTATCATTAGTTGTATTGTAGTAAAACCGTTAAGTTTATAATCACTTGATGCATAAGTAATCGGCTAACTATAACCCAACATGCCTAATTTTTCAAGCAATAAAAACAAAAATCATGATGTTTCAATACTTCTAACACATATTTTTCATGTCACTTTAGTTGATTGTCATAAAACGTTAATTTTACAATCATTTGATACATGAGTAACTAATTAATTATAACCCAACATGCTTAATTTTTTGTGTATATACAATCAAAAACATATAGATTGAAAGGAACTGAATCAAGTAAATTGATTGCAAATAATATAGTTTTGAAGGCGCTTCCTTAGAATGAAGCTAAGGTGTCATCTTAGAAACACTTTTTCCATATATATATATAATTTATTTTTTGTATGTGCGCGTGCACGCATAATATGACATCCATTATGTTGTTCCTTTAAAACCATACATCCATCAAGTAAACATGTAAAAGCAAGCAAGATAAGGTTAGGGAAAAAAAGATTA